AGGTCGGCTAGAGGCCGTACCAGGATAGGTTCATTCACGCTACGGTGAAGTTCCTATAACCTCATCCATTTGTAAAGAAAGTGAATCATTGTGACTCTAAAAAGCGAGTCATTGCGACTCTAAGAAATGAAAGCAAGAGAGTCCTTGTGGCTCTAAGAAACCTCCATAGAAAAGTACTATATTTACAAACGAGTGTATAGGTATACTTATAGTATTGCACGAGATTGCATAATGAGAATGTTGCATGAGATTGCATAATGAGAATGTTGCACGAGATTTTATAATGAGAATGTTTGCACTAGATTGCATAATGAGAATGAGTAACCAAGATTGTATATTGAGTATGACTGCCTTAGTTGCATATTGATGTCTTATATATCTAATTCGCATGATGAGAACTCGAAAGCATGAGAATAATTTCTTATTGATTGGTAGTACGCAATTGCTTGATAGCATGAGTTCGTTATGATGAGTTTTGCTATGATGAATATGTGTTAAGAGTGATTATGTTGATAAGTATTTATCGTTGAAGCATGCCTGTTGATATTATAGGTTGCGAGCATATAGAAAGCTTGTAGTTTATCTTAAAGTTGTCTAAGTGTTGCGATTACTTGATTTGAGAATGTGAGCAAATGTTTTTCCAAAGTATATACTGTAGTACTTTACAGGGTTGAGTGTGGTTATACTTAGCTTCGTGCTAACGGGTGTTTTCTACTTGTTTACTTGTTGTTTTGTAAAACCCCTTTCAAGTGGGCCCAGCATTTGAGAGTTGTTCGAGTTAAACTAGTTTAGTAGATCTAATAGTCTAAACTCTTGTTTCATCTTATGATGTTTTGGATGATGGATTGTAGACTTATGTTACTTATGTTTGGTGATAGACACCGGGGTGTTTTTCCCCAAGTGACTTTAATTAAGTAATTTCAATGTTAGTTTGACTTAATGACTTAGTTCTATCCTTAGCCTATGCAATCACCGTGGAGAGGTGGTTGTGGCGGTGACATTCCCACTAGTTTGTTATTTAAGTTTGTTTATTCGCTGCTTAGTTTATCTTGATTTTGGTTTTAGAACTGTAATTAAGTTTAAGAAAAGTGGGGTGTTACAGGGAGAGAGGGTGCAGGAGTCCAAGAAAGAGGGGTGCAAGGCGGCGGTAGGCGCCGGGTGTCGTGGCAGCTCCGATGGGGGCGCCGGATGACATGACCCCCACCCAGGGCTGAGGCGCCCCCGTCGCGCTCGGGGCGACGACGTTGCTTGGCGACGTCGTCCGGGCGCGCCCGGCTTGTTTGGCTGTGCCCCTTGTGGATGCCTTGTCGTGAGGGGCTCGGGCATGGTGTCGTGTGGCGTTTGGCGGCTTGGAATGTAGTTCACGACAAGGGGACAACGTGGGACGTGTGTCTAGCTAGAACTAACAGGCTGTGGATGGTGTACACGTGGGTGGTCTGGGTTAAGCTACTGATAGTATAAAAGGGGGAGGAGGGGGGGGGGGGGGTGTTTGGTCCGTATAAAACACACCTCAAGAGATAGCTACTCCTCTGGTCAAATGGTCTTGTTTTCTCCCTCTAATTGGTATATTAGGGTTCAAGTCCTGTGGGTAACATATTTAGTATTTATGGCAATTTATATCGTGCACCAGGGCACACATTGTATTGTGCACCTTGGTGCAAAACGACTTCGTTTTGTACTCTTTTTTTTTTTTTTTTTTGGAAATTCAGCTTTTCGTGTGTCGTCTGTTAATTTCTTAAAAAAAAAATCTCATGTTTTCAAAATGTACATAGTTGTATAATAGAATGTACATAATTGTATAACAGAATGTACATAATTGTATAACAAAATACACATACTCTTTTTGAAAAGATAATACACATAATCTAACATAATACATAATACACATAAACTCTTAACATAATACACATAAACTCTTAACATAATACACATAAATTCCATATTTCGGATGTACATAATTGTATAAAAAAATGTACATAATTGTATAAAAAAATGTACAGAATTGTATAAAAAATGTACATAATTGTATAACATAATGTACATAATGGTATAACTTAATGTACATAATTATATAACAGAATACACGTACCATCTGTCACGTCAACTCCCCACACAACTTAACAAAACGACGTCGTTTTGGGAGGCGCGGGGCACACATTGCTATATGCGCCGTGGTGCACGGTATAACGATTGTTTATTTATTCTTTGGGCTGCCATTTTAGGCCAGTTCTTGGGTTTTGTACATATTTTATTGGGTCTCATGCCCCTAGCAATAATATTATTATTCTTTTATCGCTATTTCTTGTTTTAATACTCAGTTTATTGTGGACTCGGTCCTGACAACAACAACAACAACAATAACAACAACAACAATGCATCGGTCATATTTTAAACCAATATGGCCAGCACTTTGCCCTTAATTGGGCTAGCCCGATGCGAACGAGGATTAGACTGAGTATGGTATGAGTTTAAAGGTGCTTCCTACAGTTAAGACCTACTCAGGACACCTCGTGGTCTGACCAAAAAATAATAATGCATCAGTCATATTTTACATTTTGTTTACTAATAATTAGTGAAATAAACTCTTTTTTTTTTTTTGTGTGTGTGGTTATATTTTTTCTTTTCTTTTTTTTTTGTTTTATTTTCTTTAATTTTTTTTTTTGTATTTAATAGTACTTTTAATGCATTTTAAATATATAAAATTTATCTAATAATATTAATTTTAATATTATGAAAAATTGAATTAAAAATGAGATAGAGAATAATAATAATAATAATAATAATAATAATAATAATAATAATAATAATAATAATAATAATAATAATAATAATAATATACTAAATTGTATAGGAGACAAATTCGGTAAAGTTATAATTGGAATATATAAATTATGTTTGTGTAATCATGTTTACTGATAACTTGTATATTTTTATTTATTCATTGTATAATGCTAAGAAATTTCTATAGTTACCGTATTTAATTTTTAACTTTTCCATTTATGTTAAACTTTAATAAAGGAATATTTTGTTAAGAGTTAATTTCATTTTTGGTCCTATATTTATAAGTGACAATTCATTTTTAGTCTTTTTTTTTTTCAAAACATCATCTTTTGGTCTTAGTATTATTGTGGAACGACCATTATTGGTCCTTTATCAACAAATCATTTAACTTCCGTAAAATACAAGGCATTTAGGTATTCAATGTTTCAATTATGAATTTTTTCAAAACAAATAAAAATAATAATATAGCGGGTCAACTCATTTTGTATAAAAAAGAGGATAAAAATATCATTTTATTTAACGACATTTCAATGATTTTGTTGACGAATGATGTAAAAAATGGTCATGTCACCAATAAATCTATACCAAAAATAGAATTAACTCTTCCTTAACTTATTATTTTTAACGTGACTCATTGCAAAATATTTCCTAACCTTTTAACAACAACAACGCCATTTTGTTTTTATATTGTTATTATAACAATTAAATTACTGTGCACAAAATGGAACTCGGGACTTTTTTTTCTATTATTTTACAATTCTTTTTTCTTCGTGATAAGAATTGAAATATAATAATATTTACTTAATTTGATTTGTTTCTTTCAACTATTAAAAAAAAAGAGTAAAAACTATTATTTTTTTAATCTTCATCATAAAAGAATATAAATGTCATACTATAATATAATTATTCTCAGAATACATTTTCTTTTCTTTGCTTAAATCAAACATTATTTGTTGTAGCACAGATTTTAATTTTCTATTCCAAAGTTATATTGCTTTAATTAAAATGTATATTTTATTACAAGTTGATCTACTATGTAAGAGACCAAATTTCTCTCTACTTTAAAATTTTAAATACGGAATTTCATTATCTAATCAATCTTATATGAAAAAAAAAAAAGAGTAAATATTTGAAAATATCAAAGAGAGTTTATTAAATAAATATTTTATATATAACGACAATTGAGATTGCAAGTATATATACAAGGAAAACCTATGAATTCATATGTTATAACTTCATTACATAACTATCTATAGCAATATATATTTTTACTATTGTTTTTATTACAAGTTAAAAATATTCAGTTGGCGATGACCTTGCGGGGATTAAAAAGATTTTTAGTTGAGAATTGAAATATTTGGAAAATGATTTTCTGCTAGAAATAAACTGTGGATGAGGTAAAGGAGAAAAGTGGGATGCACAAACAGCTACAAGTAGAAAAACGAAGACCCCATAAATAGTAAAAAAAATAAAAAGAAAAAAAAATACAAATTAGTACATTTTTCTCTCATTTTCCCTTTTCCTTTTCCTTTACTTCTTTCCAATTCGTACCTTTTTGTCTGTATTTGAATATACCCTTTTATTTAATTCATTTTATTACTATTATTCATTGCATATTTAATTATTATTATTATATAATTAATATTATATTTAATAAAATACAGATGTAATGTTTATATCATTCATTTTCTCTACTTTTTTTAAAAAGAGAGTGATGGAGGTCTTCATGCTTGCCAACCTAATTTCACTTTCCCCAACTACAATTTTTTTTTTTAAATTTTTATATTTTAGTTTTTTTTTTCCTCTTTTTAAACCGGACTCCAACCATTTTCTTAACCAAAATACATAATTTCTTTGCTTTCAATAATTAATAATTACGGATCTAATATTTAATAATTTCTTTTCCCTCATTATTATTACCAAGTATAATAATTTATTATTTATTTGTTTATTTTTATTATAATTATTATTTAATTAAGGATTCGAACAATCAAAGTTAGGAACTCAAATTAGATTTTACTCTCCAAACTCCAATTAAATTTTTTTTTTTTTCACATTTTCTCATCACCTCCAAAACCCAAAAAAGAAAAAAATCAAATCTTTTTCTCTCTATAATTTGGGAAAATTTCTAAATATTTGAGAAAATTTTTCTTTTGAGAACAGAAAATTTTTCTTGAATTTCTCCGTTAGTTTTTTCTCTGCTTTCTGTTTTTTTTTTTTTTTTTCTTTCATATTCTCAAGGGAATAAGAAAAGAAGAATGAAAGGCCTCAGTTTTCCTCCTCTTTGATTCTACTGTACCTGTTTTTGAGCACTGGCAAGGCTTCACATACAGTAAATTTTATTTTTAAGTTTGGAAGTGGGTTTTTATTTTTGATTTTTGAATTTTTTTTTTGAGTTTTTGCATATTTTAAAGAATTCTGGGCTGATTTTTGGAGTTTGAAGTTGTGAAAGAAGTATGGGGTTTTGAAGAAAAGCTGAGAGGAAAATCGTGTAATTAAATTTTTTTTAAAAAAAAAAAAAAGAAAAAAAGAAATCTTTTTGGGTTCTTGGTAAGTTTTGGGAGATTATGGAGGGAAGGGAGGGGTTGAGTAGCAGTGGAGTTACTGTGGTGGGATCAGATGCTCCCTCAGACTACCATGTGGCTCCAAGGACCACTGAGAATCCAAGCCAACAAGTTGCCGGATCAGCACAGGCGGCGGCGGTTGGAATCTCACCTCCGCCGGGCATGGCGGCGGCCGGAGCAGACGCCACCGCAGGGAAGAAGAAGAGGGGAAGGCCAAGAAAGTACGGCCCGGATGGGGCAGTCACCATGGCTCTGTCACCCAAGCCGATTTCCTCGTCGGCGCCGCCTCCCGTCATAGACTTCTCCGCCGAGAAACGGGGGAAAGTACGGCCGGCGGCGGGGTCAGTCAGCAAGCATAAAGTGGATTTGGACCCCTCAGGTGAAAGAAGACTTTTGAGCAAATATGAAAAATTGTGTGTATTTATTTATATTTAAAGTTGAAATCTTTGGACTTTGGTTGCATGAAAATGGTTAATTTGGTCTGATGAAGTGGTTAATTTTAGTGTGTTTGGTGAAGTTTGAATTGAAGTGTGTGGTGATAGAGATTTGTAGGGGTGGGACCTCTGAATAGATGCTTCAACTATGATCTTGATGTGTATGGGTAGTAGTAGCTCTGAAAGTCAGTCAGGTGGAATGAGGAATCTTAAAGATTTCATAGCTGGCATTTTCACAATTCTTACCCTTTTTGTTTGAGCATAACAGTGGATTTGCCTTTCTCGGGTTACCTCGTATGTATAGTCCATTCTTCACACTATGATCTAATGCCGATTAGGAAATGGTAGATTTCGATTCCCTTTCCCTGCCTCACATACTCTTCATTCAGAAACGCGTTTTGACCTGCAATGTGGCTAAAGTTTCTGCGATATGATGCTTTATACCAAAACTGTCCTGGATCTGTTAGTCCGAATATGTCTTGTGTCTGTCCAATTGAAGCCAAGTGTCTCTGTGTTCTTGGCATTTTGTTGGCAAAAAAAGTTTAGAAACCTCCCGGGAAAGCATTTGTTGTTTTGTTGTCCTTTTTTCTTACTTTTTTTCCTTTTCGGGGCAAGGATTAATGTTAAAGTTCCAAACTTTTCCGCTTGAGAAGGAACGAGGTAGACCTTCCTTTTTGAATATAGAGGCTGGAGCGGAAACGTGTCTTCCTTTGATAATTTATATGATTTTTTTTTGTTCTATTTCGTCCCGTATCATAATTGGAAGTCGCTTGTGCTGTACTAACTGGTATATACAATATTATATTGATTGCTGTAGTGATCGTTTCGTGCTCGACTGTTACTAATGCTCAATGTTTCTCTTGATCTCTAGGTGAATGGGTATATTGCTCTGTTGGCGCTAACTTTACGCCCCATATCATCACTGTCAATGCTGGAGAGGTAAAAATTCTTACGAGAACAGATAAAAGGAGAATCAGTTTTACTGATATGACGACTGAGAACATAAAAGTACATAATCATTTTCTAGATTTTTTTTTTGGGTTGAGAAGGGTAAATAAAACATTTTCTACAAATATGTTTAATGAGTAAATAGATCCTCTAGTCATTATCTCTTCAGTCTTTTTTTCTTTCCCCCGATTTGCCTCGGATGCTAGTTTTGTATGATGGGAATGTGATGTAAAGCTGTTCGGGTTCAGTGAAATTATTTCATAAACGGTGTTTATCTAAAGAAATTGTGTTTGGAGGCAGTTTATGTATGGCGCCGCACCTTTGGTAACTGTTTTATTGCATTTATTTTAGGATGTTACCATGAAGGTCATATCGTTCTCTCAACAAGGGCCCCGCGCAATCTGTATTCTCTCAGCTAATGGAGTAATTTCAAGCGTCACTCTTCGTCAACCTGATTCCTCTGGCGGAACGCTTACCTATGAGGTACTGCAACCGTTATTTATTTTTTCAATTAGTTAACCCGTGTTTCATATTGGCTGTCATATTACCGTAATGCATTGTTCCGATTCCCTACTTTTTTCTTTACATATGTATTCATAAACTACTTTATTTCGTCCTAAATTTTGTCTAAAACAATTATGATATTCATAGTTCAGTTCTTTTCACTTTTTGGTCGGTTGAGATCGGGAAAATAACATGAAAAAAAAAAGAAGTTAATAGGATGATAAACCGGGTGAATATATTGATGGATAACCCAATAGTGGATGAGTGACTCTCTTGTGAGACCGTTTCATGGATTCTTATCCGTGAGACGGGTCGGGTTAAGATGGGAATGTAATGCTAATCATGAATAAATTGTTTGTTACTTATAAGGGAAAGTGTAATACTTTTAAGTCAAAATGTAAAAAGTGTTACATTTTTCTTCAAAATATTACACTTTCCATTATAAGTAGTAACAAACACTTTATTACTGATTAGTATTAAATTTTCCATCTTGACCCAACCCGTCTCACGTATCCTTTTTACACAAGTTTTTGCCATAGTGGATAAGTTTTTACATGAAAGATTATATATGGTTTATAATTGTGATATAGTTCTAGCTGAAGGAAAGTAGGATCTGAGTGGAACAATTTTTATAAGTACTTGTCTATATATAGTATTATAGTCGATGTTTGACATGGGGAAATGCTCTGTATATGAATAAAAATAATTTAAATAAATTGCAAACGAGCAATTATATTATATATGAATGTTATTTAATCTAAATAAAAAAAATGTAAGTATGTAACTAAGAAGTTAAATTACATATGAATTAAGATGTAAATATTTGATTATCAAGAATAATAATAATAAATGATATATATTTTTGTTTGAGATTTAATTTTATTCAAAATTAAGTTTCAAAAATAAGATATCATATTTCTGTTTGGAAATCGATGCTGGACTCGAACTGTTTATAATATTTAATTTAATTAATACTAATAATCGATGCTGCTCTAGTCTATATATAATTGTAATTTTATAATATTGCCGCCCTTTTATTTCTTATGTTTTGTTGTTTCCACTGATGTCATCCATCACTACTTTCATTCTCTAGGGCCGTTTTGAGATACTGTCATTAACGGGATCATTTATGCCCTCCGAGTCAGGAGGAATACGCAACAGATCCGGTGGCATGAGTGTCTCCTTAGCCAGCCCCGATGGGCGGGTTGTAGGCGGTGGTGTTGCTGGTCTGTTAGTAGCTGCTGGTCCTGTCCAGGTATTTTACTATGTTAAGCATAAATAATAAATGTGGAGTCTCACTATCAGCTTAGACTTTAGTTCGAGAAAAATGAACGAAATTTAATGTCAGTTGATTTTCTAGAACAGGATTATCTAGTCTAGTCACAAAAAAATTGGCGTGTTTACATGTGTGTATACATCAGATTGTGGTAGGCAGCTTCCTGGCTGGGAATCAGCACGAGCAGAAAACGAAGAAACACAAGCCGGAGAGTGTAACTGCTGCTATTCCCATCTCAAGTGCAGGTGCAGCCGAGGTGGAAGGGCCGCCATTTCACTCCTCGGCAAAACCTGCCTTGTTAACCGCCCCTTCTTTCCGCGGGGATAACTGGTCGACGTTGCCCCCAGACACGAGGAATAAGCCGACTGACATCAATGAGCCTAGCCTGCATAAGATGGTAACTTAGGGAGCTGTAACAACATTCTGGGAAGGAAGTCAAGGCTGCATTAGCAACACACCTTGATTAAAGAGTCTCACCTCAGGCTTTTTTTTTTTTTTTTTTTTTTTTCGGGTTCGTCATTCGTGTAAACCTTGGTGGTGTCTGCATTAATTTCCTTAAGATCTGTGTTGTAATTTGTTGAGATAGTCCATTAGATTGGCAACTCTGCTCTCACCAGTGCTGCAGAATGTTAAGATGTATGATTTAGGGCTGTTGAAGTTGAATTTCATCTCTTATTTATAGATTATGTTCCCCCCTATCATCTTTTGGTCTAAGCTTCCTGGATCATGACTGTTAGGATCAAGCGCTTACCACTACGCTAAAAGTTGTAGATTACAGGTCACAATAAAGACGCAAATTTTGAGAGGTAAGATGCTAAACTTGACCTTTCACTGGCCTTCATCCAACAATTTCCCTAGTCACCAATTGCTGAACTTAGCTCTTCAGTGACCTCTATCTAACAATGGCTTTAGTAAACTACTTAAACAAACGAAATGGACAAAATTAAAGTTTAACTGGATTAGCCTCTCTAGTAAATGAACTTAAACAAACGAAACGGACAAAATCAAAGTTTAGCTGGATTAGTCTCATCCGAGTGAAAACAAAAAATGCTATCATTAAAAGTGTGACAAAAATTGACTAAGAAGAAACAGAACAACTCTTCCCCAGTATGACAGGTATATCCATCAGACAACAGGAAAACAACAGAACTATTCTAAAAAAAAAAAAAAAAAAAAAAAAGAAGAAGAAGAAAAACAACAGAACTGAGAATTTCCTTTGACACCATCTCACAATCATTTACCTCTGAATCACAAAACCTCATACACTATGAAGGGAACTATAACGAGTGCTCATCGTATTCCAAAGTGCTAAATATCAACCTGCAGAAAGAAAACGAGTAAATACTGGCTATTACAGCAGTCATGCACAGATACTAGATTAAAACAGGAGTGAGTGGTTTGGTTTGGCCGTCTGTTTTCTACCCCTTACATGACTAAGGAGATGAAGACAAGAATGACGAGATACCCAAGTTTCCAAAGCCTCTGATTCTTCTCCCGATTCAGCTGATTAAAAATCTCGGTTACATCTATGAGGTGTTGTCTCTGCAGGTACCTAATACAACAAAAGAGCATTAGAATGTTGAGCTGAGTTCCTGTCATAATGTATGGAAGAAAGAGTTTCACACTAGCTTAATCTGCAAATATATCTGAGCCTTCACACTAGCTTGGAATGACACTATTCCTTGGCCACATTTAAAAGGAAAGCTCAGTGAAGTGAACTTAAGATTTCATCAATTTCACTGAATATCAAAGCTCAAACATGTTTAAAAGAGCCATTAACTGCAAAGAAAGATGAGAGTAGCATACTACAAACTCCTTGAGAGAATGACAAGAAAGGGAAAACAGAAGGGGGCAACTCCACCCAAGTTGGTCAGCCTATTGACTTGGTAACAACAAGATTACAAGTTCGATTCCTTGGTTTGAGCTGGTTAGCTATAGGCAACCTGGATTGGTTTATCTCTTTGTGACCCTTTGCTAGCTAGGGCCACAAGGCAGAGTTTACCCAGTGCACACTCTCGGGTAAAAAAGAACAGGGAAACAGAATGTCAACTTCAAACAATGCAAGGCCAAAAAAGAGCATATGCAATTTACCACTAAAACATAAGGACAAAGAGTGCCTACATTCATAACAGCATATAGATACCGCAAGATATAACTTTTCTATAAGAGGCTTTAGATAATCACAAAAGAGAAGTTCACACTACTATCAGAATCTTATTTCAGAACTTACAATTGCACATTGTGGTATAAATAAGGACCACAGAGAAGTGCCATAATCCAATGCCCTGTTCCAAGATAGAGTAAGCATAAAACTCCTTGCACAATGTACTCCGGAAGAACAACTTTATTTATCCTAGAGGCAGAGTCATAAGGATTGATATAGTCGCATTCTAGATCAGCCAAGCATGTAAGCTGAGAAAAAAATATTAAACTATTAGTCTGTGAATTAAAAGTACAACATAACTGAAAATGAAACATCTTTTTATTATTATTTTTTTATGATGAAAACCTCACAATCCTTTGAGTAAATTCCGCCTTGTGACCCTAGCTGGCAAAGGACCACAAGGAAGTACCCATAGTTGACTGGCTCAAACCAACGGGGCAAAGATTCGAACTCGTGACCTTGCAGTTACAAGTGTGGATCTCTTGCCACCATATGGGGTCCTCCGAGTATATAGTGTTTTTGCCACGTTTAATCCTAAACTTTTAAATTGACCACCCATTGTTCTTCCACTTTCAAATTGTTATCATCTGTAGTCCAAGTTAACCACTCATGGTCCTTCAACTTTCAAAATTTAACCAGCCGCAGTCCTCCTGGAAGGACCAGGAGTGGTTAAACTTTGATAGTTGAATGACCAACTTGGACCACGGATGGTAACAATTTTAAAGTGGAAGGACCAGTGAATTTGAAAGTGTAACTAAACGTGGCAAAACCACTATACTCGGAGGACCTTAGATGGTATTAACTCTTTTATTTATGCTATACAAAGATTGGATCAGGTGATTATGCAGTAGTTAACAGTGAGAATAATGAAGCCAATCTCCTGAAACCCAAATATTTTAAATTTAACTCAAACAATTTAAAATGAGGATGGGAATAAAGCATTATCCATTCAGAAAGATGAATGATCAAATAATTGACAAAAAAAAAATCTTCAAAGGTATTTCTTTATCATCTTTAAATGCCTTTCTGTACGTGACAGACCACTCCAGAAAGCTGGCTGAACCGGATATGAACTTTCATATGCCCTAACTGATCCAGTGCAATAAAACAGGGAAAATGGTTCCAATTGAGCAAGAAATAGGAACGAATCCAGAACAAGAACAATGAAAGCAAGAAAACAAGGAAAAAGAAAAAACGAATCGACCTGGAAAACAACCAAAATGGTAATAGCGAGGAGCGTGAAGAACACAAGCACCCATTCCCATACATCTGCCATTCGCTATGTTGACGGAGATGATGAAAGCTTAGGTGAACGAATGAATGAATTGGGATTAAAAGTAGTCATTCTCTGGAGACGAAGGATGTTATTCAGCCTGCACTCGTACCAAATAACTAAAGCCAAAGGGGCAGCATTTTTCCGATATGTCTTGGGGAAATAACAACAATAATGAGATATTTGGTTCGCAAAAAGTTAGATTATCTTGGTAACGGGAATACATGATTACCTCTCGAAAGATAATCTAAAATTTTGGCAATGTAAAATTATTTGTTGTGTTTTGTTTAAATTGTGAAAATGTAATATAATTTGCTAGGTTTAGATTGTGGAAACTTTCACTTTTGTATATTTATGAAATTGATGTCACATTTTTTCTTTATTTTTTTTAAAGTTTTTAACGGTTAGATATATCCGATCAATAGGATTTGTCCACACTTCTTCTGAGAAGTTCTCAGGGAGCCAAGCCATATATATTTGTCATGTATATATAAATTATTTATTTCTATTTATACAAATGTGTGTATAATTATACATAAATGTATGCATGTCACTATATATATATATATATATATATATATATGTTATATATGTTGTTTTTGAGAGGAAATGTTATATATGTTGTTGTTATTATTGTTATGGCATTTGTTTAAATGAGGACACATCTAAAAGGATGATCGTTAGGATAAATTCTATCCATTGGATACAAAGATTTGAGTAGATGTGGATATATAGTTAGATTAATTGAATCATAATTAATAAGGGCATAATAGAGAATATACATATGATTTAATTAGGGATAGAATTTAATTAGGATGTTATAGTTTATTTTAGGGATGTATTTATGGTAGAATAGGATTCTTCAGGTAGAATATTTCATTTATTTTCAGAGCTTTTTCATCTATACTTCTATCTACTATACTAATAAGAGACCAAGAGAATTAGGCCTATAATGGGTAGAAAAAATGGTGGTCGAATTTTTTAATCAAATGAATGGCTCAAATTGATCAGATTTTAATTTTTTCCTTAAGATTTCTTAATTTATCCTTAATGAATATGATTATCCGTTAACTTTTCCGTTAAATATTGTCTTTTCTGTTAATTTCTGTTAGTTCACCGTTAACTTACTCATTGATTTCAATAAGAAAGGTCTTAGGTTCGAACCCCATCCCAATCAAAGTTGGCATAATTAGTACTCTATTTTACTCTTATTAAATTAAAAATAATAATTTAGTGGCTATAACAGAAAATAATACATATGCATTTCTTTAATTTAGAATTATGTGTCTACAATGTCTTTATTCAAAAAAAAAAATTATTCATTATCAATAAATTAAATAAGAGAAATAATTTCATTAGTTATATCGTATTTATTTTTCTCCAATATAAAAATTCTGTACGTTCAAATTCATCAATTGATTATATTCGCTACATTGTCCCTACAATGTCTTTATTAAAAAAATATTTATTATTAATAAATTAATTAAGAGAAATAATTTTATTAGTTATATTGTCTTTATATTTCTCCAATTTATAAATTCTTTACATTCAAATTCATCAATTGATTATAATCACTACATTGTCTATTATCTTTTTTTTTTTGCACTATTTTTTAATTAAATATCAAAGATAATACAAAATAATGCTATATATTTATTTACCAAGTATTTTATTAATACCATGAAAAAAATTAACAAAAATATAATTAATAAAGCCAATCATATTAACTACTTGAGTGATTTATTGACAAAGAGAGTATTCAAATCACAACAAATTGAAGTGAGAACTACCTCGCAATGTCCTTGTATGACAATCAGCAGTTAGCGGTTAGCGTTAGCGAATTATATCAAAGGTTGGTAAAAAGATATTTGAAAAAATTAGTTGTTTAGATTAACATGTAAAATGACCTAAGGGTATACGTATACATATATTTAATAATAATAATAATAATAATAATAATAATAATAATAATAATAATAATAATAATAATAATAATAATAATAATAATAATAATAGTAATAATAATATTTGTTTTAAAAATAAAAAATATAATTAAGCCAATCATATTAACTACTTGGGGGATTTATTGACAAAAATAGTATTCAAATCACACAACAAATACATGAAGAATATATTATACCATAAATACATTCCTAAAATCAAGTATAATATCCTAATCAAATTCGATGTATACTCAGACTAATCCTCATTCGCACCGGGCCGACCAAATTAAGGAGAAAAGTGCAGGTCATATTGGTTTTTCTATACAAGATAGGGTTCAAACTTCCAACCTCTCTTAAGAGATGAGAGTGCATAGCCACTCACGCCAACCATGCTAGTTATACCCTTTAATAATATATTAAAATGTTTAATTCGTAACCAATATGGCATAGCATACTTGAAACATAAAAATAATTAAATACAATTAAACTATTAAAAATATTTTTTCAATTGTATAAATTTACAAAACAACTGCACAAATTATTGTGTGATTGTGTGTATATATTTGATAAGCATAAAAAGATGCTAGTTTTTAAGAGCACTTTGAAGGTATTTCTCTTATGTTTTAGCCAAGCCTTGTGCTTTAGAGTAATTTATCCTAAAAATACAGTTTAGCATAGAGATATCTTTTCAATGTTATTTTTCATGATTTTAGATGTTTTTGGACAAGAAAAGTGGCAAAAGAGGACAAAAATGACAAAGCTGTGGAAAAGGGCACATGCGAGGTACCATTCACGCTACAAGCACGCACGTAAGGAAAAAAATGAGAATTATTTCCCATTTACACTGGCCTTACGGCGTGACGGGCTGCGTAACGAGCCGGAGGAAAGACGCGCACGCCGTGACCATGGCGTAAGAGCTAGCGTGAGGAGTCGCGTAAGGCGATGGTTGAAGGACGTGCGCGGAAAGGAATTAAATCTCATTTACGCCGGCGTAACGCCAGCGTAAATAGGATGCCGAATGAGAAGCCCTGGCGGATTTAAGGCTATTCTTCTTCATTTGTAGGGGAGGTTACACAAAAAGTTACACAGAATTTTTAGAGAGAGAATTTCTATTTTTAGAGAGAGGTTTTAGATCTATATTAGTTCTTCATTTTTCCTCACTAGATTTAGCCAAAAACACTATCAATCTTGTATTGAAGTGAAGATCCAAGCATCTCCTTGCAAGATCTTCATCTCTAATCCGTTGGATTGACAATCTACCTTGCAATTTGGGTAAATTTCTAATCCAATCTTTTATTGCTTTATCTTGATGGGATCTACCTTGCATATGCTTAGATTGTTGATATTGAGCATGAGTGACTAAATTCTAGGGATTAGGATTGTAGTGGAGATTGCTATTATGATGATTGGTTCAAATTGATAGCTATTGTGATGATTGCTTATTGAAGTTATGAATGTCTTATTGTGGAGGATGATCTTTTGTAGCTTTCTTGGAGTGGGACCCAACTCCTTGGATGATTCAGATTCTGAGGTTTAGGCAAGAGATTGCTAAACTGATGTGAGCCCCTTGATCCTTCCACATTCTCCGCCCTAGATCCGAGAGGAAAAAGGTCCGGGAATGAATGTAGGCAAGGTGTTTGTTTAAATGCCCCGTAGAGATTATGAACACTCTTTTTATATTTGTCTATGGGAGGTGTATAGACTGAAATGGCTACGCATTATCGCATTTCTCTTGACTTGTAACCCAACATTCAATCAACACAACCTCCTCGAGAATAAGCCAATCACACATTGCAATCGACACGAAAATCCTAATCTGTTTTTACCTTATTGTTTTGAAACCCTTCTTCAAGAGTCTTTTCTTCTTTCATTCTTATCAACCAATTCCCTATTCCACCACCCTTGAATCAAGAATCTCAACGTTAGACCTACCTTGTTATTAACCTTACTCAAACTTCCAAGTTATCATTCCTTGAGTACGATACTCGGGGTGTTTCTCACTCCCCGTTTTACTCCTTTTCATTCTTCATCACTACCTCCGAACACATACACTTTTGACCACGCTATCCAAAATGAGAACCGTAAGCGAAAGCGATGTTTGTCAAAATGGCACCATTGTCGGGGAGTGGTAAATGGTAGTCATGAGTTTGTGAGAAAGCAAGGAAGATCGTACTTTGAAACTTGATTCATCTTTCTTTTCAAGCCTTTTCGTTTTCTTTTCTTTACCCAAAGTGTGTTTACTTCTAGCCACACTATTTCTTCAAACTTAAATAGGATAGTTGATGCACACCCGATCAAAAGAAAAACAAGGATTAATTCCATTGAATCCAGAAATTCAAAGTACTGCTATGAGAGAGTTGGGATTGAAGAAGATCAAGAAATAGGAAGTGAAATGGGATCCACCAGCACGGTAAACAACTGAGATATGGATGAAGAACCAAGGCTAGGATTGGCACAACAACCAAATCAACCTCTGTAGGAGTTTATGTATTTGAAGGTTCTTCACCCAGAGAACACTTGAACAACAATATTAGACTCGATGAAGAATTACTAGGATATGCGGTAGGAAGGAATGCAGTGGACAACGCACAAGGAGAAAAACACATGAGGACTATAGCGGAGTACATGACTCCCGAGTTTTCTTTGCATAACTCCATTTACATTCCGCCTATGGAAGGGATTAATTTCACCATCCACCCCTTAGTTATTAATCTGGTACAGAACAATCCGTTTAGTGGATTACCCTCGGAGGACCCGCATACCCATATGACTAGATTCATTAGATCTTGTAGCATGTTTGGGCCGAATGGAGTCCCCGAAGACATCATCCACCTTATCCTGTTTCCCTTTTCCGTTATTGGAGATGGTGTAATTCTCCTACTCCACTTTCTCCTTTAACATCCAAAGGAGTGATTCACTATCTTCGTTCCCCCAGATATAATAGTGAATCAGTGTCCACCGACACTTCCCGAGTGCTTCGCACAAAGCTACACTCCACCAAGATTTTTCACAATCTTCTCTTGTTACTCCGCCTTCCCGAAGCAGCGCTCTCACAGGGTTTTCACAAGCTCCTCTATTACTTTGCCCTTTACAATGAGTGCTACGCACAAAGCTACACTCAACCAGGGTTTTTCACAGTCCC